AGTTGGCAAGAGTCAGAAAGTAAACTTACAACTGTGAGAAAGCCATAACAAGAGTCACAGGCCCCGCCCCCAAGGGATAACAATGTAATAAAAAGAACTAGCAACGGCTGCGAAGGGGGATTCCACTCTCTGCCCCGGGAATTGCTGCAGATTTTCTTCTCCACAAACTTCTTGTCTCGCGACCTATAAGAATAAGGAACAGAGGAGTGTAGGCCGAACAAAGATTTATTAAGCCAAAGGGAAAGAGAAAGCTACCGATGGCAAGGCAGCAGCAAGGAGATTAAAAAATGTCCACCACCGAGCTGGAGAGATGGCTCATCGCTTAAGAGCACTGGCTGCTCTTCCAGAGGTCCTGAGTTCAATTCCCAGCAACCACATGGTGGTTCACAGACATCTATAATGAGATCTGGCGCCCTCTTCTGGTCCACAGAACACTGTATACATAATAAATAAAGCTTTTTTAAAAAAGAAAATGTCCACCAAAACCAGGAACTCCATGACAGAATTAGAATTAGAAAACAATTACCTTTATATCATCTTTCATGACCCCTGTCCATTAACTGCTTTTCCTCCTTGGTGGTGGAAAAAATGCATAAAATATATTCAATACTGAAAGTGTGAAATTTAAGGTGAACCTACACAGCTTCCATTTTGAATGCCTATTCTAATCTATATGCATTTATTAAGTTGTTAAGACTTTGAGTCTGGTTGATTTTTGGTATATGGTCTTTTTGTCTAGTTGCAAGGTTTTTTTTTTTTTTAAGAAGAAAGTTCATTTAAAAGAGAGAGTGTTTGCCATTGAAGAGGTTGGGTTTAGGGGTTTTTTTAGTAGGATTAGGAAGGGCCCCGACTGGCTGGCTAGTTGTATGTATGAAAAATAGGGGAAAAGTAGGAAGCAAACAGAGGGAAGGAAGCCCACCCAGCTGAGAAGTGTTCGCAATTAAGTTTCATGGATAGTGAGGGGGAAGTGAGGACGCTGGGGTGTACCATGTATGGCGTGGGGGGGCGGTGAGGACGCTGGGGTATACCCAGATGGTTTCATGTATGGCGGTGGGGGGGGAGCAGTGAGGACGCTGGGGTATACCCAGATGGTTTCATGTATGGCGGTTGGGGGGGGAGAAGTGAGGACGCTGGGGTGTACCATGTATGGTGAGGGGGTGAGGACGCTGGGGTATACCCAGATGGTTTCATGTATGGCGGTGGGGGGGGGAGCAGTGAGGACGCTGGGGTGTACCATGTATGGTGAGGGGGTGAGGACGCTGGGGTATACCCAGATGGTTTCATGTATGGTGGTTGGGGGGGGGGGAGAAGGGAGGACGCTGGGGTATACCATGTATGGCGGTGGGGGGGCGGTGAGGACGCTGGGGTATACCATGTATGGTGTGGGGGGTGAGGACGCTGGGGTATACCCAGATGGTTTCATGTATGGCGGTGGGGGGGAGCAGTGAGGACGCTGGGGTATACCATGTATGGTGTGGGGGGTGAGGACACTGGGGTATACCCAGATGGTTTCATGTATGGCTGTGGGGGGGAGCAGTGAGGACGCTGGGGTATACCATGTATGGTGAGGTGGTGAGGACGCTGGGGTATACCCAGATGGTTTCATGTATGGTGGTTGGGGGGGGGAGAAGTGAGGACGCTGGGGTATACCATGTATGGCGGTGGGGGGCGGTGAGGACGCTGGGGTATACCATGTATGGTGTGGGGGGTGAGGACGCTGGGGTATACCCAGATGGTTTCATGTATGGCGGTGGGGGGGAGCAGTGAGGACGCTGGGGTATACCATGTATGGTGAGGTGGTGAGGACGCTGGGGTATACCCAGATGGTTTCATGTATGGTGGTGGGGGGGTGAGGACGCTGGGGTATACCCAGATGGTTTCATGTATAGTGGGGGGCGGTGAGGACGCTGGGGTGTACCCAGATGGTTCCATGTATGGCGGTGGGAGGGGCAGTGAGGACGCTGGGGTATACCCAGATGGTTTCATGTATGGTGGTGGGGGGGGTGAGGACGCTGGGGTATACCCAGATGGTTTCATGTATGGTGGTGGGGGGTGAGGACGCTGGGGTATACCCAGATGGTTTCATGTATGGTGGTGGGGGTGAGGACGCTGGGGTATACCCAGATGGTTTCATGTATGGTGGTGGGGGGGGTGAGGACGCTGGGGTATACCCAGATGGTTTCATGTATGGTGGTGGGGGGGTGAGGACGCTGGGGTATACCCAGATGGTTTCATGTATGGTGGTGGGGGGGGTGAGGACGCTGGGGTATACCCAGATGGTTTCATGTATAGTGGGGGGGCGGTGAGGACGCTGGGGTGTACCCAGATGGTTCCATGTATGGCGGTGGGAGGGGCAGTGAGGACGCTGGGGTATACCCAGATGGTTTCATGTATGGTGGTGGGGGGGGTGAGGACGCTGGGGTATACCCAGATGGTTTCATGTATGGTGGTGGGGGGGGTGAGGGCGCTGGGGTATACCCAGATGGTTTCATGTATGGTGGTGGGGGGGGTGAGGACGCTGGGGTATACCCAGATGGTTTCATGTATGGTGGTGGGGGGTGAGGACGCTGGGGTATACCCAGATGGTTTCATGTATGGTGGTGGGGGGTGAGGACGCTGGGGTATACCCAGATGGTTTCATGTATGGTGGGGGGGTGAGGACGCTGGGGTATACCCAGATGGTTTCATGTATGGTGGTGGGGGGTGAGGACGCTGGGGTATACCCAGATGGTTTCATGTATAGTGGGGGGGCGGTGAGGACGCTGGGGTGTACCCAGATGGTTTCATGTATGGTGGTGGGGGGGTGAGGACGCTGGGGTATACCCAGATGGTTTCATGTTCCACTTCTGGCCACTGGTTCCCATGGCAGCCTAGGCTCTCCTACCGCTATCAGAGTGTGGTATTTGTGTTGACCACGCTGGGACAGGCTTTTATTTTTATTTATTTCTTTTTTTGGTGATGCATCTGTCTTTGAGTCATTCTTGCCCCAATAAGTATTTCCTTACCCACGCTCTATAAGTAAGCCCAACAATCATACTGTTTTTTGCGAATCCAACATACACTCCTGCTTCAGCCCATTGGTGGTGAACTGCTTTCTCACATCTCCCAGGACAGCAGACAAACCAGCTTAAGCAAGAGAGGGTTTGTTTTGTTGTAGAGTTCCAGGGTAGAGCCCATCCCCATGAGGGGTTAAGACAGCAGAAAGTTCAGGTAGGTAGGTACATTGCATCTGGGGTTGGCAAACAGAAGATGAGTGATAGGGTCCAGATTGTGTTCTCCGTTTTATTTGGTTCAGGACTCCAGCCCAAGGAATGGATCCATCTACATCCAATCAACTTTATCTAGAGAATTCCTACAGACAAACCAGGAGGCTAACCTACTCTAGGAAATCTCTCACAGGCAATGCCCAGAGGTTGCTCTCACAGGTGATTCTAGATTCTTTGGGGTTGACCAGCAGTATTAACCATGGCACAAACCCTCCTCAAAAGACAAAACCAGAGCTGGTCATAATCCTAACACTTGGGAGATGGAGGCAGGAGTTCAAGGCTAGCTTTACTGCATATTACAGTGAGTTCTAGTCCGGTCTAGGCTGCATGGGACTTTGTCTCAAACATCCACCACAAACACACACACACACACACACACACACACACACACACACACACACACACACACACAAGAATAAGCTAGAGGAGCTGGAGAGAATGCTCAGTGGTTAGAGCACCCAAGTGCAGCCCCCAGCACTGGTGTTGGGTGGCTCCCAAGCATCGTAACTCCAGCTCCTGGGGTCTGCTGGATGCCTCTGGACTCCAAAGGCTGCTGCACTTGTGTGCACATAGCCAAACAGAGGACTCTAGTATACACATAATTCAAAATTAATCAGTTTAAAAAGAGTGAGTCAGAAAGAAGTCTAGCTAGAGTGCTCTTGCAGTCGACTTAGAAAGGAGAGAGAGGCGGAAGCTGATGAGCTCAGGTAGAACGCCTGAGATCTCAGCACTTGGAGACCAAGGCTGAGAAGAATCTCAAGGATTCCAAAACCCACTCTCCAGGGCCAGCTTGCTCTCTTTCTCTCACGGCAGCTAGTCATAAAAATGTATTCATCAGCATTTTAGTAACGTCTCCCACCCCAGACCCCAGCCTCCAGGGGCAAGCATGTTCATGCCCCCAGCAGCATGAGCCAATGTTTCGTTGTTGTTGTTGTTTTGTTTTTTCCAGGCATACCATGTAAATGCATGGCCAAATGCAGTCTTAATGGCTGCCCACAGAAGGCTCTCTGGTGTCACATGGTAGCCCGGGGATCACAGGCTATCTCTGTCTCAAGCAAACGGGGGTGGGGGCTGAGGGGTACAGGAAGTAGGGGTATAATCTTCAGAGCTGGGGTTCATGATGGGCCTCGAGCAAGTCTTAACTTTGGGGGACTCACAGGCCACTTGGAGAGTCTGAAGAAGCCACAGTTAGCTAACTCTCTTTAGAAAAACTTTCGGGGGATACTATAGTAGAATTAACTTCTAGTTTGCTGCCTTAATTGACTAAATAACAGACCCTTTGCTGAATGTATGGTCAACAGAAAGTCATGTTAATGTCCTCAAAAATCTAACAGTCCAGTAGTCAGAGCAAAACAGTAACCAGGAATCAACGCACGTGTGGGTAATTATAAGCCAGCGGTGGAGATTTCGATCAGGTTGAATCGAGGAGGGGTAAGTGTGTGCTCCAAAAGGCAAGGTTTTAAATGGATGCGTGCAGTAGGTTGATCTAGGGGACCCTATCACACAAAGCAGGTCAGCAAAGTAAGTTAGCTGTGAATCTAAGATTAAGATGGCACTGGGCTAGGGTGCAGAAGTTGGGATGGAGGGGGGCAGGCTGCTATAAAAATGCTGATAAATACAGTTTTATGACTCGACCAGGACACAAGAGACATGAGCGAAATGGCTGTAGGAGAGCGGCCTTGAAGTCCTCGGTTCATCATCCAGGGTCAGAAGTTGGCCCTGTGTCTGTTCTGTAAGATGAAAAAAACCACGGGAGGGCAGCTGGTGGCGGAGAGTTACACAGGGCTTGCGGGCCTGAAAATGAATTGTAGCTGCTGTGTGCAAAGGGAGTGTGGACGCTAGGTGTGTGGACGGAAGGGAGCCAGCAAGAAGGTTACAACAGGTCAGGAATAAATAACCAGCAGGCGGAGGGTCCCGGATTCCGTCCTGCCTTTTGTTGGGTGAAGAGCGCCAGGCAAACGCGTTCACCTTGGCGTTGGAAGGAAGCGATCGGACCGTCCACCGCCGGCCGCAGCCCCGGGTGACTATGAGGGACCCGGGGACTGAGGGAGGTACAAACCGGGACCGCGAGGCTCCGCCGTCCACCCGAAGCCCCGCTGCGGGGACCCCGAAGTAAGTCGGGGACCGGCCGCGCTGCGGCGGGAGGGGGCGGGCAGACAGATCCCACCCCTTCCTGAAGGAAGCGCCCTCCCCGCCGCGACAGCCGCCGCCGCCACCGCCGCCGCCACCACCGCCGCCACCGCCGCCGCCGCAGGTCACGGCCCGCGAGCCGCCGCCGCCCGGAGCAGGTAGGGGCGCGGCGCCCTCCTCCGCCCCTCGGCCCCGCTGCCCGGCCCACTCGGCTCCGGGTCCCCGGGGGGCCCCACCCGGGCGGTGGCACTGCCTCCCCAGCCCCCGAGCCCGAGGCGAGCGGTGCGGCTCCGCGGCTCGCCCGACCCGCTCCCCGCCGCCGCAGTGCCGCCTGCGGCCCCCGCCCGGCCCGGTGACAGGTGTCCCACCGCCGCGGCCGCTCCCGGGTGGGGACCGGGGAGAAGCGGCAGAGCCCAGCCGGCAGAACCCAGCCGGCCCCAGGCGCTAACTTGCGGTGCCTCGCTGGGCGCGCGTTCCTGGGAAGGACAGGGATTTCGGACTGAGCGTGGGCAGGGGTGCGGGTCGCCGTGCACTAGGCGCTCTGATTATCCGTGGTCATAGTAATTTTACAAAGTCTTCGGCCCCGGGTTATGGAGAGAGCCTTCACTGGGTGGTTTTCCCCTCGTGAAATGAGTCAAAGGGAGAAAGAGGGTTTTCCCACTTGAAATTCATGTTCCTTCGCGCCCCTCCCCATTCATCCCTCTCCATCACCCCCTACTCCCATGGCACTTTATTATCTCCTAAACACTTTGCTGGCCTTTCGGTTGCGGTTATTCCGGCCAGGTCTTTTCAGGGCTGGGCGAGGGCTGTGATTGCCAGAGTGAGAGAATACAGCCCAGGTGGAGTGGAAGCCAAACGTCTCCCTGGGCAATCCCACGCTGACTTCCTACATGCGTGGTCCTGTTGAGGAACCGAAATACACCGATATATTATTTAAAAAAAAAAAGCAGGGCAGAGTAAAAGCAGTTCTTAGATCTATTACAGTAACACAGCCTAAAGGGCAATATTAGTTTCTGCTTCTTCAATTCTCTGCTGGAATCGAAGACAGATTTTAATAATGCAGGACTGTAACTTCATTCTGGGCTGCAGTTAATAAAAAGGGTAGACGATTGTGAATGTTCAGAGTCTATGTTAGCAGTTAATACGTTGACCCACTTAAGTGTCCCAGGTTGAGGGTAAACCATTAGGTGCATACATGTAATAAATGCAGACTGAATAATTTCAATCTCAACTTTAATGTATCATGTACTTAACTTTTTCTTATGCATGTCCTGGAGAGGACCTTGCTTCCAAAATTAACCATAGCTGTCCCCCCCCCCGTGTGTGTGTGTGTGTCTGTGTCTGTGTGTCTGTGTGTCTGAATGTCTGTCAGTCTGTCTCTCCATCTCCCTCCCTCCCCACCCCCTTCAGACAAGGTCTCTATTATGTAGCTCTGGCTGTCCTGAAACTTTCTATGTAGACCAAATTGGTCTCAGACTCACAGAGATCCACCTGCCTCTGCCTCTGCCTCCCAAGTACTGGGATTCAAGGCGTGTGCCGCCACACCCAGCAGCTGCCATCTCTTAATGAACTAGAAGTGTGAATTTAATCTTCATGGAATAAGCATAGGGGGTTTAAATGGTTTGTCCTTGGTGTATAAATTGCTTAAATGTATGGCAAGCCTCCCAAGTTGGGAGCTCACAAAGTAGACATAGTTAATTGACGTTGGGCAAACATAAAATATTTGAAAAATGCATGCTCATAATCTGCATTTAGCTGAATGACGTTTGTTGGCTTATTTAAATCTGTGCTATAGTATGTTGGTAGCACTTGCTTAATCCATGTGTTTCTCACCAGATGCTTTGTGTGTGTTGGGGTGGGGTGGTTTGCTTTGCAGGTCATCATCTTCCGTGAACACGATGATGCCGTTAACGTTTGCCACAGTGGTCGCCTTGCTCGCAGCTGTCACCTTGCAGGACTGTTGCGTTCACTTGTGCTGCTTTGTGACTGTCAGGGACTTTATCTTGGCTCTCCTTGTGGCCAGGACCTCTGTAGTCCAGAGGCCAGATGAACCGGCAATCTGGAGCCCTGACAGAGGGAAGGGGAGCTAGACCCTGCAGTCTTAGATGTTCCTGTCACTGTAATCTGGCCCTTTGGGATCATCTCGGTGGGCCATTACTCAAAACAATAGTGAGAAGACCTGGCAGTCTTCCTCTGCCTGAAAAGAACCTGTGATGTTAGACTCGGGACTCTGTAGTGATGAGGTTCTAGGCCCGGGTAACTATCACTATATTGTTATGTGGGTGCTGGGTGTGAGTGTGATATGCACATGTGTGTGCATGATGTGTGTGGAGGTCAACGTTGCACGTCTTTCCTTAATCTCTTCACTTTTATTTTTTGAGATAGTCTCTTACCAAACCTGAAACTCCTTGATTATGCCAGGCTGTCTGGGCCAGTGAGCTCCAGAGGTCTGCCTGCCTCCTTTCCTATTAAAGGCTTGGGTCATGAGCGCCCAACACCATGGTCAGTTTTTTACATGGGTGCTAGAGCATGTAAACTCAGTTCCTAATGCTTGCATGCCAAGCACTTCATAGGCTGGAGATACTCAATGCAGAGAGCTCAGAAGGGATAATCGGGATGATACAATATGGTGAGAGATTTTGGATGTTTGCAGTCATGCTGTTCTGGCCCGTGCTAGCTCTAGGAAGTTAGGCAAGGTTTGGAGCTCGCTTACCAAGGAAGAAATGAACAGTTTTCCTTTTTAACATCTCTATGTAGCCTTGACCAGATCAGTGCTGCCCAGTATAACTTTCTACGTGGATGGGAATATTCTATAAGTCTGTCTTGTAACCACAAGCCACATGTGGCTGTTGAAACATGGCCAGTACAATTGTGGAACAGATTTTACATTTTACTTAACTTTAATTCATTTAAATTGCTACATAGGGATAGTGGCTACCATATCAGGTAGTGCAGCTCTGAATTCCCACCACTCATTTCTGATAGAGATACCTTTGATGGCAATTATCCCTCAATTAGGAAGAAATAGAAATTTGCATTAAACTGCCAGGATTTAAGATTTAACCCAGGAATCCTGTTTTATGAAAAAAGAAGCACTTGCATTTATGCTGGAGTTTGTTCCTACTCTAAAAACAGTTTGCTTCTTAAATTTCTGTCTCTAACAGTCACAAAAATAAGCATCACTCCTGGGTGCTGGCACCATGTTTGGGTGGGTGCTCCCACAGGAGCATTGGGTGATGCTCCCACAGGAGCATTGGGTGATGCTCCCACAGGGTCATTTGGGTGATGCTCCCACAGGAGCATTGGGTGATGCTCCCACAGGAGCATTGGGTGGGTGCTCCCACAGGGTCATTTGGGTGATGCTCCCACAGGAGCATTGGGTGATGCTCCCACAGGGTCATTTGGGTGATGCTCCCACAGGGGCATTTGGGTGGGTGCTCACACAGGGGCATTGGGTGATGCTCACACAGGGGCATTGGGGGATGCTCCCACAGGGGCATTTGGGTGATGCTCCCACAGGGGCATTGGGTGGGTGCTCACACAGGGGCATTTGGATGGTGCTCCCACAGGGGCATTGGGGGATGTTCCCACAGGGGCATTGGGTGGGTGCTCACACAGGGGCATTTGGATGGTGCTCCCACAGGGGCATTGGGGGATGCTCCCACAGGGGCATTTGGGTGATGCTCCCACAGGGGCATTGGGTGGGTGCTCACACCGAGGCATTTGGGTGATGCTCACACAGGGGCATTTGGGTGATGCTCACACAGGGGCATTTGGGTGGTGCTCACACAGGGGCATTTGGGTGGTGCTCACACAGGGGCATTTGGGTGATGCTCACACAGGGGCATTTGGGTGGTGCTCACACAGGGGCATTGGGGGATGCTCACACAGGGGCATTGGGTGGGTGCTCACACAGGGGCATTGGGGGATGCTCACACAGGGGCATTGGGTGGGTGCTCACACAGGGGCATCATTTGCCCTTGTGCACACTGTGGATCATTCATTCTCAGAGTTGGTTTCCGTACTTGGTACGTTTTAAACCAGAGTGGATTTGTAGCAAGGGAGGTAAGCCTGACCGCTCCTTTCCTCTCGTACAGTCAACCCTGAGAAATGTGACAAATGGCTTCTCAAGCAATAGTTGAGGGCTGAAGTCTTTGCTTTATAGCCCTTCATGTCTGGCTTCTTTCTCTGGAGCTCAATCCAGACACCTCTCCCCAACCCTTACTCCACACCGCCTGCGGGGTTTACCAAACCCACTTAAAATATCACCTCCTATCATTTTTAGCAAAGTGGGACTTGATTCAGCATCTACTGCACAGCTTCCATTTTTAAACTAACTTGCTTTGATAAAAGCTGTTATTCTGATGGTGGAGAAAGCACACTTTTAATTAGATGATTTCACAAGATGTTGCTCGTCAAGTTTCTTGAATGAGTGACCCTCACCCAGCCCAGATCTCTCTGCAGGGGAGAGCTGAGATTCTTGGAGGTTGAGAGTCTTGCGGATTCCCGGTCTCTGGGAGGGACTATCCCTCTGTCAATTATTTAGAACTTATTGAATATGTTGGGATGTGTTAGAGTTAGGTTAAAATAAGATATTTGTGCCTTGAACGTAGTAACAGTTTAGAAGGGCAGTTTTCCATTGACTGTCCCACGAGGTGATGGGGATGCTTAAATAAATTCAATAAGTGCTTCTTATAATTCCAATACCATGCCAAAGCTGAAATAAGTAACATGTACATTTACCTTAAAAAAAAAAACTTTGTTAGTATTTTCTTGTGCCATAGTGTTTTTCAAACTGCTCGTCTTGGGTCTTAAGATCAACTTATAGATGAGGGCCAGGATTCTCCTTCTGAAACAGAACCAGAAAAGCATCTGTGCATTGTCCACAAT